AAGCTGCTGACTGTCATTGCATGTGGTGCTCGGAAAACACTCCAGCGGCAACACTCGCAAGTCAAAGCAGCTGACTGTGATTGCATGTGGTGCGCGGCAAACACTCTAGGCATGCATGCAACACTCCACGGGTAAATGCAAAACTAGCGGCTTGTCTTCGAAGAGCCGCGGCGGCCGTCGGCAGGTGTTCAAACCTCAGTGGAACTGACTGAAACCTGGGAGCCTAAAGTGCCTGGGAGCCTTTAAAGTGAAAGCTGCTGACTGTCATTGCATGTGGTGCTCGGCAAACACTCCAGCGGCAACACTCGCAAGTCAAAGCAGCTGACTGTGATTGCATGTGGTGCACGGCAAACACTCTGGGCATGCATGCAACACTCCATGGGTAAATGCAAAACTGGCGGCTTGTCTTCGCAGAGCCGCGGCGGCCGTCGGCAGGCGTTCAAAACCTCAGTGGAACTGACTGAAACCTGGGAGCCTAAAGTGCCTGGGAGCCTAAAGTGCCTGGGAGTCACCGTGACAGGAATCGCAAGTCAAAGCAGCTGACTGTCATTGCATGTGGTGCTCGGCAAACACTCCAGCGGCAACACTCGCAAGTCAAAGCAGCTGACTGTCATTGCATGTGGTGCTGGGCAAACACTCCAGGGGCAACACTCCACGGGTGCATGCAAAACTGGTGGCTTGTCTTCGAAGAGCCGCGGCGGCCGTCGGCAGGTGTTCAAAACCTCAGTGGAACTGACTGAAACCTGGGAGAGCCTAAAGTGCCTGGGAGCCTAAAGTGAAAGCAGCTGACTGTCATTGCATGTGGTGCTCGGCAAACACTCCAGTGGCAACACTCGCAAGTCAAAGCAGCTGACTGTGATTGCATGTGGTGCACGGCAAACACTCTAGGCATGCATGCAACACTCCACGGGTAAATGCAAAACTGGCGGCTTGTCTTCGAAGAGCCGCGGCGGCCGTCGGAGGAAACCTCAGTGGAACTGAGTGAAACCTGGGAGCCTAAAGTGCCTGGGAGCCTAAAGTGCCTGGGAGCCTAAAGTGAAAGCTGCTGACTGTCATTGCATGTGGTGCTCGACAAACGCTCCAGTGGCAACACTCGCAAGTCAAAGCAGCTGACTGTGATTGCATGTGGTGCACGGCAAACACTCTAGGCATGCATGCAACACTCCACGGGTGCATGCAAAACTGGCGGCTTGTCTTCAAACTTCGAAGAGCCGCGGCGGCCGTCGGCAGGTGTTCAAAACCTCAGTGGGGCTGACTGAAACCTGGGAGCCTAAAGTGCCTGGGAGCCTAAAGTGAAAGCAGCTGACTGTCATTGCATGTGGTGCTCGACAAACACTCCAGTGGCAACACTCGCAAGTCAAAGCAGCTGACTGTGATTGCATGTGGTGCACGGCAAACACTCTAGGCATGCATGCAACACTCCACGGGTAAATGCAAAACTAGCGGCTTGTCTTCGAAGAGCCGCGGCGGCCGTCGGCAGGTGTTCAAACCTCAGTGGAACTGACTGAAACCTGGGAGCCTAAAGTGCCTGGGAGCCTAAAGTGAAAAGTGAAAGCAGCTGACTGTCATTGCATGTGGTGCTCGGCAAACACTCCAGTGGCAACACTCGCAAGTCAAAGCAGCTGACTGTGATTGCATGTGGTGCACGGCAAACACTCTAGGCATGCATGCAACACTCCACGGGTAAATGCAAAACTGGCGGCTTGTCTTCGAAGAGCCGCGGCGGCCTTCGGCAGGAAACCTCGGTGGAACTGAGTGAAACCTGGGAGCCTAAAGTGCCTGGGAGCCTAAAGTGAAAGCAGCTGACTGTCATTGCATGTGGTGCTCGGCAAACACTCCAGTGGCAACTCGCAAGTCAAAGCAGCTGACTGTGATTGCATGTGGTGCACGGCAAACACTCTCCAGTGGCAACACTCGCAAGTCAAAGCAGCTGACTGTGATTGCATGTGGTGCACGGCAAACACTCTAGGCATGCATGCAACACTCCACGGGTGCATGCAAAACTGGCGGCTCGTCTTCAAACTTCGAAGAGCCGCGGCGGCCGTCGGCAGGTGTTCAAAACCTCAGTGGAACTGACTGAAACCTGGGAGCCTAAAGTGCCTGGGAGCCTAAAGTGAAAGCAGCTGACTGTCATTGCATGTGGTGCTCGGCAAACACTCCAGTGGCAACACTCGCAAGTCAAAGCAGCTGACTGTGATTGCATGTGGTGCACGGCAAACATTCTTCGAAGACAAGCCGCTCTCTCTCTCTCTCCCCGAGTCCGTGTGAGAGAGAGAGAGCGGCTTGTCTTCGAAGAGCCGCGGCGGCCGTCGGCAGGTGTTCAAACCTCAGTGGAACTGACGGAAACCTGGGAGCCTAAAGTGCCTGGGAGCCTAAACTGAAAGCAGCTGACTGTCATTGCATGTGGTGCTCGGCAAACACTCCAGTGGCAACACTCGCAAGTCAAAGCAGCTGACTCTGATTGCATGTGGTGCACGGCAAACACTCAAGGCATGCATGCAACACTCCATGGGTAAATGCAAAACTGGCGGCTTGTCTTCGCAGAGCCGCGGCGGCCGTCGGCAGGCGTTCAAAACCTCAGTGGAACTGACTGAAACCTGGGAGCCTAAAGTGCCTGGGAGCCTAAAGTGCCTGGGAGCCGCCGTGACAGGAATCGCAAGTCAAAGCAGCTGACTGTCATTGCATGTCATGCTATAACATGATTTTTGCTCTCGTCCTGCCCCCCCCCCCCCCTGAGGCTGCGGCTGCGGCTGCGGCCACAGCCGAAGAGTGATCACGACGAAGTCCATGAAGACATGGCGGCACGGGTTAGGGGTGGGCCTTGAGCCTGGCAGCCTGGGAGCCTTGGAGCCACCACCTACTGTAGTCTGACTGACTGAGCCTGGACCTGCATGCTGGGGTCTGACCGAGCCTGGTGCATTGTTCTGGGTCTGTGCATGCATGCTGGGGTCTGACCCAGCCTGGTGCATTGTTCTGGGTCTGACCGAGCCTCGTGCATTGGTCTGTGCATGCATGCTGGGGTCTGACCGAGCCTGGTGCATTGTTCTGGGTCTGTGCATGCATGCTGGGGTCTGACCCAGCCTGGTGCATTGTTCTGGGTCTGACCGAGCCTCGTGCATTGGTCTGTGCATGCATGCTGGGGTCTGACCGAGCCTGGTGCATTGTTCTGGGTCTGTGCATGCACGCTGGGGCCTCGGTCGGGGATGCACGGGCATCCCTCACCCCCGCAAGATGTCAGTGGTGGGACCACAGACATCTTGCGGGGGTGATGGATGTCTCTATCCATGCACGCTGGGGCCTCGGTCGGGGTTCATGCACGCACATCCTTCACCCCTGCAAGATGTCGGTGGTGGGACCACAGACATCTTGCAGGGGTGAGGGATGTCCGTGCATCCCCCGACAGGCATCAACTCCAACCAGGTGTTTCCACTGGAAACACCTGGTTGGATTGATGCCTGGTCTGACCCCTCGAGCCTGAAGGCTGCAGTTGGTTGTATGCAATGAACCCCACAAAACACCAAAAAATTAAAAATCCCCGAAACGGCCACCAAGTAATGCCCCTGCTGCAGGACCCCCTTTTCGCCACAGTGGCTGCTGGAAAGAGCGAAGAGGTCAAGCCTCCCTGGCGGCAGCCTCCGGCCTTGGCGCCGAGAGTAATAAGACCGCCTCTACGACCTGTACGACCTCCTGCACTACCACAACCGCAGAGCACACCGCCGCCGAGTACGCCGCCGCCGAGCACACCAAGGCCGCCGAGCACACCGCCGCCCCCAAGGACACCACCGCCAACGACCCCGAGTGCGCCGAGTACAGGACCAGCTGGTCAGGGGGCGGCGAGTGCAGCACGACCAGCAGGTCAGGGGCCAGCCGGGCCAGCTGCAAGGTCAGCTGCACTGGAAGCACGACTTTTGTCGTTGAGAAGGGTGCTGCGGACGGTGGGCCGGCTGACGGAGGATGCGGACCTGGTGGTGAGAGACCTGAGTCGCACTCTCTTTGCAGAGGCGGCAAGGGTCTGCCAGGACGATCCGTACGAGGACGCCTAGGGCCAGGGCAGAAAAAATGGATGTGTCTCGGCTTGTGTGACGGCGGGCCTCTGAGCTCGCTGCATGTTGTGCTTGCAGGGTTTGCAACGGCGGGCCTCTGAGCTCGCTGCCTGTTGTGCTTGCAGGGTTTGCAACGGCGGGCCTCCGAGCTCGCTGCATGTTGTGCTTGCAGGGTTTGCAACGGCGGGCCTCTGAGCTCGCTGCATGTTGTGCTTGCAACGGCGGGCCTCTGAGCTCGCTGCATGTTGTGCTTGCAGGGTTTGCAACGGCGGGCCTCTGAGCTCGCTGCATGTTGTGCTTGCAGGGTTTGCAACGGCGGGCCTCGGAGCTCGCTGCATGTTGTGCTTGCAGGGTTTGCAACGGCGGGCCTCTGAGCTCGCTGCATGTTGTGCTTGCAGGGTTTGCAACGGCGGGCCTCTGAGCTCGCTGCATGTTGTGCTTGCAGGGTTTGCAACGGCGGGCCTCGAGCTCGCTGCATGTTGTGCTTGCAGGGTTTGCAACGGCGGGCCTCGGAGCTCGCTGCATGTTGTGCTTGCAGGGTTTGCAACGGCGGGCCTCTGAGCTCGCTGCATGTTGTGCTTGCAGGGTTTACAACGGCGGGCCTCTGAGCTCGCTGTTCATTTGTATATTATATATTTTATATATATATATATATATATATATATATATCTGTACGTTCATGCTTTCCTTTGTTGCTTTTGGCGGCTCTTTGGGTCGCTGCATACAGTTGTCATTGCCTGGATCACATGACTTGTTATTCTCCGATGCCATACATCCACAGCTTCAAGCAGTGCCAAAGAGCAGACTGCTGTAGTACATTATCTACGTATAGACATGTGTGTGTATGTGAAATCGATGTTTGCATGGGATTGGCTTATACATTACACGCACGTAGCATCTCAAGGCTTTCATGAGAAACATATCAAAACTCAAGACTCCTTTGCAACTATATAGGTCATGGCGAAGACAACGACCGCTTGCCCGAAAGAAGGGTTGCTGGAAGATGTTTCGAAGGCTTTGGCGCGACCTGGTACTTCTTATCGGGAAGCTGCAGAAAAGCTGGGCGTCCACGTGGAAAAGGTCAAGAGGGCTGCTCACGAACTCGGCGGCCAGAAGCAAGAAGTCTGGAGTCTCTTACAGATGGCCGAGAATGCCATCATAGCCGTGGCCAAGCTGCCTGCACTGCTGACCCTTCTCTGTGCCCGGACACCGGCGCTTTTTGAGGCTTTTCGGAAAGCAGCTGTTCAGGCAGCCGAGAAGCCTCTAAGCCTCATACTGTCTTTCGACGAGGCGACAGCTGGGAACGTTCTAGCCCCCGATCCTGCCAAAAAAGCTTGCATGGTTTACATTGCTTGCAAAGAGGTTGGGATGCAAAATCCTGCTTTGTGGTGGCCTGTCAGTGTGGTGAGAGCTGACATAATGAAGCACCATCTCCATGGCAACCTCGCACCAATCCTGCAGAGCAACTCACTGGTGGCTTTTTGGTGCAGGGTGCAGGCCAGCAGCCGTTCATCTTGAGAGTGCGCATCTCAGCGGTGATAGCTGATGGCGAAGCACTCAGACAGTCGCTGAGTTGCAAGGGCGCAGCAGGGCTCAAACCCTGTCACATGTGCAAAAACGTCATCAAGAAGAACCATGAGATGACAGGCTCCTTGCAGGGCTATCTTCAGGACATTTCTTCTCTTCCAGGTTCTTGGGATCGCATGACGGACGAAGATATTTTTGATTTCTGCGATGAGCAACGGCGACGAAAGATGGTCCTCTCTGCGGCCGCATTCAGGGAGGAAGAAACCCTGGCCGGCATTGTCTTCGATGAGCAGAGCTTGATCCAGGACCAATGGGCTCGACTTCAGCTGCCACCAAGTCTATTCATGTATGACTTCCTCCACATCTACTTCACGAAGGGTGGAGTGGCCAGTCTGGAGGTCGCTTACATTGTGCAGCGAGCAGCCGCAGCACTGAACGTGAGCAACGAGGACTTGGCGGACCTGCTGCGAGACCATGCCTGGCGAGTCCCTGGACACATCAAGAACTTTGCAGGGCCGGCAAACCGAGCCCGTCTGTTCGACTCCGCTCGCTTCTTGGACCTCGCCTACAAGTCCAAGGCTTCCGACCTCCAGCAGCTCCTGCCACTGCTCGGCTGCTTGCTTGAGATGTTGGACACGGACAATGTGCTGCAGGCGGAATTGCGCAGCTTCCACAAGCTGTTGCAAATTCGCAGGGAGCTCTCCAGACTGCAGGCCCTGGACAAGGTTGAGTGCACACAGACTTTGACCAGGCTACAGACCGAGCACCACCTTCTCTGTGTCCAGGCTTATGGACAGCAGATCCTCCGCCCGAAACACCACTGGAGGTTTCATGCTGCCGAACAGATTGAAAAGTGGGAGGCTTACGTGGACACCGCACCCTGCGAGACCAAGCACCAGATGCTCGGCGTTCTTCTGCTTGGCTCTTTAGACTTTAACTTTTTGAGTTTCTATATCAACTATAATATATAAGGATGCTAAAGGTTTAACTTTTAGGAGGGGTTCAGAAGTCCGCCAAGGATGTACAAGGGTGTGGCCGACAAAAACTATGACACAATGACGCATCATCGTGCTTGGTCGGAAGCAGTGGCGATGAGAATGGTTATTTCCTGCCACGAGCAGCTGCGAACGTTCTTTGCAGAGCAGGCCCAAGTTTTCTTGGGGAAACCTACCCGCTGCACTTATGGAGCTGGTCTGAGCTATCGGGCTGTCAGGCTTCATGGCCGCCATTGGGCACAAGGCGATTTCCTCTTGGAGCCTGTTCCAGGACAAATTGTGCGATGCTTGAAGGATTCCGCGGACAGGCCTGTCCTCTTGGTCAGGCAGTATCGGCCGGTGACAACCGCGGTCTTCAGCACTGTGTTTCGCCGCACATCCACTGTGCGCGAGTTGCACGATTTGCGACATGTGCGCAACGCCTCCTGGTGGCTTTGCGAGAACGAGGATGTGGTGCGAGCCCTTCCGTGAGCAAAAAAGAGTCCAAGCCAATGCTTTTAGCCTCTGGTGTCCCCCAATCTCAAGAACGGCGGTTTCGAGTCGCTGCAAACAACACTATAGCCACACCAAAACCCGGCATCACATGGCTTCTTTTCCATCAGCGGCGGTGTCATATCGCTGCAAGTGCTATACCACAAAATATCAGCGGCGGTGTCAAATCGCTGCAAGTGCTATACCACAAAATATTGCAAAATGCACCAAAAAAGATAGGAAAAGATAAAAATAGATAAAAAAATATAAAAGAAGATAAACAAAGATAACCATGACATATATAGAAGATAACATACATCATGTTAGAAGATAGTTTAGCCGTTATCTTGCCTCTAAGTAGATATATCTTCGGGCGACCAACCGTGTATATATATATATAGTCTCTCTCTCTCTCTCTCTATCTATATATATATATAATTACACATGTATACACATGTGTATACATATATATACATATATATATAGAGAGAGAGAGAGAGAGAGAGAGAGAGAGAGAGAGAGAGAGAGAGACAGAGAGAGAGAGAGAGAGAGAGAGAGAGATAGGAGAGACAGAGACGTAGCACCTGCAGAAAAAAACATTTGTCCAGAACCCCTCTACCATTGTTTTCTTAGCGAAGAGGACCCTCGAAGGGTTTTGGCTCATAAGCCGCATAGATATAAAATGAGGCCCCATACCTTTTGGGGGTCGTTCGGTTCTCAGTGTATGCCCCGCTGCCTGAGAAGCTAGAAAGCACTGGTGCTCAAACCCGCAAGCCAAACTCCCAATCCGAAAAGCCCTAGGCACGTAAGCAGACTGAGAGCGCACCTTCGGGATTTGACTTTGATTCCCCCGGGAGGCCAGTTTCTCACATCGGACTGCGCAGGAACCTCCCGTGGCTGGGTGGAACTGGGTTTTAGGAGAAGAGCAAGAGGAAAGCGAGAGATAGAGATTGCGAGTGTGGTCTTGCAAAGCAAGGTGGGTTTGGGGACTGGTGAACTTGGCTTCTTGCCTCAGAAGGGTGAAAGGCTGTGCTCGACTGGATCCAAAGCATGCAGCATCTATCATGCTAGCCACGCCCCGCAAACCGCAAACCCTCAATGCGCACACACCTTCAATCCTGCAGACTTGCGAAAACCCTAAGCCTACAAACACCCCAAAGACCTACAGCCCTTAACTCTAAACCTCCAGCTTGCGGATCGTAAAAGAGCTTCTGGGCAGCCGCACAGCCCAAGGAAATGGCACGGCATACCCTGAAGCTTAGGGGTAGTTACGGGCTCAAGGGTTGAGTTTAGGGTTTCGGATATAGGTCGTAGGTTTATGGTTTAGGGTTTAGGAGGTGTGGCTAACACTGGTCTATAATGATCTATGTGATGTAGACTTCCTTTGCTTTTAAAGTTTAGCCTCAGAACCCAAATGCATACTGACCCGGATTCCTGAGGCCAACAGCTGTGGATTATACTTTGCGTGCCTCGCTCTGAAGGCAAACGAAAGTCGTGATCTTTGCCTGGCGGAGACCGTCTCGAAGTTCGTTAACTCTTATAATTTATAAAAGGTCCATGTACCAAATAGTATATACCTCGGCCTTGAAGTAGTCCCCATACAGGTACATTGGGGCCGAAGTATATACTAGTTGGGTCTTGTAAGGCTTTACAGTGTTACACCTGCATAATCACCCAGAGTGTCCCTATATAGACTTTCATTCCTATGGACTTCAGCCCCTGAAGACATCCTCATGAAGACTTTGGGGAAGTACTTGTATACCGTGCAATTAATGGTAATATATTTTTTTAGAAAGAGAGAGAGAGAGAGAGAGAGAGAGAGAGAGAGACAGAGAGAGAGAGATGGGCTCTCTTGGTTCTGGGCGGCCAGTAGAGCCCATCTTTCGGAGCCGACGAGTAAGGGAATGTGGGAATTCGGGAAAGGTCTGAGAGTTGGATGCTAAATTTCGAGTTGAGGGTTTTCCAATGAGTTTGAAATGGTCACTTCAGGTTTTGGGGATCAGGATTCGTGGTCAAGTTAGGGTTTAGGGCTTGGGACTAATGAGTTGATCTCGAGTACTACACACATAGGATTTCCCTGGCATATTGACGGTGATGCTGTCAGAATTCCACTCCCTTTCAAAATCTGTCGCAACCATGATGGATGTCTCAAAGTGTCAGAATGTTTCAGATGTCCGCTTTCACAGGGGTTTCCAGCCGCTCGGGCTTTATAAAGCATAGCCAGGTTTTCATCCTTCGGTGTCGAAATGGGATGATATGCGGGCCTACACGAGTAGAACCGTGTTCTGATACAGACCCTAGCAAAATCTGACGAAGAAGAAACACTAAACTCGAACCCTGAATCCGAGGAGTTCTCGGCTTTGCGGTGTGGGGCTCGATAGGTAGAGGAGGTACATCGAAACCATGGGGTTCTGGGTAACAATATATGCAATGGGACAGTAGGTGGTCCTCTATAGTAGGGAAGCATCTCTCCTTTTCTCCTGCACAAATGTGGGAGCTACCCACGGGTATGAGGTGCACGCCACGAGAAAAATCGCTACTGAAAAGATCAGGGCAGTCCTTGTCCAAAGATTCGTATAGAGCCCTATAGACTAGTTGTCGATTACCCTTTTTGCCAATGTCCCCAAATGCCTTTCATCAGTTATATAACTGTATACCGATCCCCCTCGCCCCAACCACCCTTTATTCCCAACACCCTTTATTGGACCCTAACTACGCACCATTAATATCCCACAAGGGCTCCATTTTTGTCTAAGGGTAAATCGGAGGGTCCTGGTAGGTGCCGGGATCCTCCTACAAGAGCCATTCTAGTCGCACCCACCGAAGCTCCAGTGTACTATATGTGGGTGCTTGTCATTATTATGGTCAATTTTTGGGTACCCTAAATAATAGGTGCCGTACTATAATAGGGATCCAAAAAAGGGGCCATAACTTTGACAACCAGCCATATGTACTACATGAAGACCGCAATGTGCGGTTTAGGGTTGAGGGTCTATGTGGATATACCTCACCACTTCACTACATCGGAGTACGGCATAACTCCGCACTTTTTGTGTGCGACCCTGAAGACATTGGGATCTCATTCTTGAAGATTCTCGGATTCACAACTAAGACTAAGGAAAGTATAAACCCTACACCCTAAATGGTGCTTTGGGAAGGACGGCCCTGCAATGACTCCGCTGGAAAAGTGTGAACCCTACGGGCCCAAGACCTCTAAACCCAAAACCCTGAACCCTAAGTCCTAAACCCTATAAGTCCTAGACCCTAAACCCTAAGTCCTAAACCCTAAACCCTAAGTCCTAAACCCTAAACCCCTAAACCCTAGCACCGGGGCCACGGTGTCCTAGGTTTCTGGTGCGGGGTTTAGGGTTCTGTGCTCTCGAAGCCTGAAAGAACGAAAAAGGAGCTTAAAACCCAAAAACCAAAGGGGAAAAGGAGGGACCCTTAATGGGGACCCCTACCCTATAATGGGCTATATAACGGGTATATAATAGCTATATTAAGGGTATATACCTAGGGGTCCTTATTAAGGGTCCCTCCTTTTACCCTTGGATAAAACCTACACTCATAGACTTTGGCTACGAAGGGGGCGGGATCTCTCAGAAGTTCAGCAACGTGCGCTCTTGCGGCACGCCGAGCTCCTCGTAGACTTTGCGCACCTGGGGTTTAGGGTTTGTTTGTAGTGGTTTAGGGTTTCGGATTTGAGGCTTAGGGTGTGCAGGGTTTATAGGGTTTGCAGAGTTTACTGTAGGGTTTCGGGTTTAGGATGGGGTCCTCATGCATAATGTGTTTGAGCTCCATGTTCAAGACGACGGCCTTTAGACTAAGAAGCAGGTTTTCCGAGTTTAGGCCTCAGGGTTTGGTATGACGATGGGTCTATAAACCCTAACCCCCAAATAGGAGTTTCCGAAAAAAAGGGCTCCTAATATAGTACCCTGAGTAGTAGGACCCTTATTATAAGGACCCCAAAATAAGGTACCCCTAATTGCAGAAAGCTCCCATGAAAGCCCTAACCCTTACAGAAACCATAGGTATCAAGGGCCTGAGGATCTCTGGCCTTCCTGCGGAAACCTAGAGGCTGGAAATATAGTACCATTATAGAATTGGGTCCCCTAAGCCAGGACATGGATGGTCTTTTGGGACCTAATTCTATAATGGTACTATATATGGAGCCTCTGGGTAAGTGTCCCTACGGACCTAGGGGTCATAGCGCCTCTGCAGTGGCTCATAGCATTCAGGGGTCCTGGGTCCCGCGAACTGGGAAACCTAGGCTAGGGTTTAGGGTTTCGGGGTGTAGGGTTTATGTTTTAGGCTAGGGTTTAGGGTTTAGGGGTTCAGGGTTTGGGGTTTAGTTTAGGGTTTAGGGGTTAAGGCTAGGGTTCAGGGTTTAGGGGTTGAGGGTTTAGTTAGGGTTTAGGGTTTAGGGTTTCGGGGTGTAGGGTTTCGGCTAGGGTTAAGGGTTCAGGGTTTAGGGTTTGGTTTAGGGTTTAGGGGTTTAGGCTAGGGTTTAGGGTTTAGAGGTTCAGGGTTTAGGGTTTAGTTATTAGGGTTTAGGGGTTTAGGCTAGGGCTTAGTAGGGTTTAGGGGTTTAAGGTTTAGGCTTGGGTTCTTACTCCAATAGCGTCGCAATCGGTTGTGGACACTGAACTAAAGAAGTGCACACTTGAGTGTTTGGCGACACAAATCCGACAAAAATAAAATCAAACGTAGACTGACACGATGTAGCTATAGAGAACAAGATAGTGTGCTAACCTGCCCTGCCAAGGTGCGGCTTCCACCATGTCCTGCCAGAAGTGTTGCAACGCCCCAAGGGGGAGCCCTGAAACTGCACCCCCCTAAATCCTGATCTCTCCACCCAGACGCTTTTAAAGCCGTCGGTTCGTTTGAATCATTAAGAAGTCTCCGCCCTGAAACCTAGAGTCGGATCCAGGGCCTCAGGACTTTGAGTGGGGCTGTCGGGTATGTTAGCTAAGTATGGGAGCTACTACTAGGAATCCCTCACTCCCAAAACTTATTGTATCCTTAAGGGAGGGGGCTGCAAGGGGGGTACATGGCCTAGTGATCCCTAACTCTCCCTAGTACTCCCTAAGGTTCCCCTAAGGATTCCTTGTACCCTCCCCCCTTGAACCACCCTCCCTTAAGGATCCTATAAAAAGCTTCTGCCCACAGATCCCAAGTACTCCAGATCCCGAGTTTAGCAACGGCTGGGTCGGGGTATCACGCAAGCCAACACGTAATATAATGCTTAGAGTACGTAGGTTTTCTGGCCCCAGTATACAGTAATACAAAAAGGAGCCACCAAAATAGTACAGGTAAGTAGTAAGGCACCTGGATTAAGGCCACTATATTGAACAAGCAAGCTGCGACCATACAAAGAAACACACACAAGCAGCGACTCAGAACAGACAGGCGGATAGGACAGACAAACAGCCAGGCAGGCAGACAGATAGACAGATGGCCAGGCAGGCAGACAAAAATATGGTGCATACGTACATACATACACTCTCGCCCAAAAGGCTTCCAACTGGCTCAACTAGGCCGAATATATCAGTCCAAAACAATATGCTGTCGAAAGAGTTACAACCTTGAACAGAGAACACGCACACACGAACAGGAAGGCCTTTTGGCCGCAGAGCAAGGCACCGTGTACCGAGGTAAGGACGAAGCCTGGAGGCCGTCATATGGGGTGCTTTTGAGGGTTCCTAAGGCAGGGTTCCGTAAAGGGTTCTACAGGGGATCAACAAGGGTCCTATAATCTGAAGTCCGTCTCCAACAATCATGTCACTACAGCGTAGGACTTCTAACCCTAAACCGGCCCTAAACCCCTAAACCCTAGACCCATAAACCCTTCAGCCTAAAGCCCTAAAGCCCTACCCCCCAAACCTCTAACCTCTAAACTCCTCAACCCTGCAACCCTAAACCCCTAAACTACCCTTCAGGACTTGAGATTCAAGGTTGAGGGATTTCGGGTCTTCAAAGACAGCGGAGTGTTCGTCTGTCTGGTTCTTAGTAGGAAATGGGGGACTAGACTATAAAGGCTATTGTCGGGGTTAGATAAGGATTTCCATAGGGCTCCATTTAGGGGTTAGGGTTTGTCGTCCAGCGATTAAGTACATTACAGGGTTTAGGGGCTGGGGTCCGTCACAGGGTTTGGGGGTTAGGGTTTAGCTTACGATTTAGGGTTAGGGTTTCAGCGGTTAGGGTCTATAATCGGGTCTTGTGGTTAGGAGTTGTCAAAGGGTTAAGGGATTAGGCTCTATCGCGGCATGCCATGGGGCTCCGATTTATCATAAAGGTTTGGGGGTTAAAGCTGGTAATTATAGGGTTTAGCCAGTGTGGGGGCTGGGATGCATCTCAGGCTTCACGGTGTAGGTTGTGGCTAGGATTTAGGTAAGAGCTGTCGCTTTGCTTACGAATAAGATCTACATGTACAGTCAGTAACCGAAGCATACACACAAGCATCAGTTAAAGAGGATCGCTATGTACCCCAGCCTGCGAGGTGTTTGGGCGTAGAGTCTGCGGCCGAACAGCTCCATTGGACTAAGAGCTCAAGGACTGTAGGATCCTAAATAAAATGATACTGGAGCTCCGAAATCCGAACCCCACGACTGCATAAACCCCCCTAAACCCTAAACCCTAAACGCCTAAACGCTAAACCCTAAAAGCCCTAAACCCTTTAAACGCTAAACCCCAAGACGAGAGCCTTCGCCGCGAGATTCGTCTTCCTGCAGCACATCCTGCACATAGCCTGGCAGAATCCCAGCCATTCGCCGCAGTGACGTGTATAATGCTGTAAGCAGTTTAAAGGTTCCTCAAGAAGTTGAGGAATTATTGATTAGCGTCTAGGGGAATAACTTGCAAAAGTGTCCCTTAATACGGTCCCTTACATGTTAACTGTAACAGTTTGTAAAATGATACGACCCCTGCAACCCTCTTTTGAGTACTTACGCCCATTATGTTGGTCGCAAGAGATTACGATCAGTCTATTACGTCGGTCGCAAGAAATTACGAGCAGTCTGGGGCCGCCCAGACAAGCCTTTGTCACTTAAAGCCTAAGCACCCTCAGCCCAAAACCTTCAGAGTCTAACTAGGATACCCAGTAACCTAAGAAATATTAATTCGGTATATCTCGATGGCGGACTTCCCGGTATGTCTGAAAAAAAAGGACGGCGGATTTGAATAAAAAGGCCTCTCTTTTTGGTATTGGGTAACTTTATAAGGAACCTGGGACTACAAAAGGGAATAAGAGTACTACTGGGCATTCTAGAAACTCCATATCGGCCCATAGCTGGATAAGAGCCAAAACCACCATACACTCAGCCCAGAGGGCTCACAGTACCCATATGATTTGATAGAGATTATCGGGCTGGTAAGAAGATTTGGGGTTGTGAGAGGGTTATGGGGTTTTGCAGCTTTGCGCTGTACGCTGTGCTAGAGAGTCTTTGGTTTACCTAACCCAAAGGGTCCGATGTACTGTTATGGGGGATACTTCCCCAAGGTATAATTATAATAGTAATTCCTAATATGGAAACCCTGCATTCTGCTATATCGGTGCATTGGACCCTTTACCTAAGGGTCCATGGGGCACGAGCAAGGGGCGCGTTGAGGACGTTGACAGCATCGCAATTTGACTGGTTCGGCCCTCTACCCTAACCCTATTTCTCGAGCCCTACGCCCAAACTCAACCCTATATCAGACCAGAAATCATCTATACTGAACTTAGAACCCTAGCAAAAATTAAATATTTTAGCTGTTTCTTAGGGATTATAATAACCAAGAATTAAAAAAATATTTCTAAGTACCCCTAAGGATGCCCGCGCCAAGCGGGAACTCGTTGAGGATGTTTGATCCGCGGCGTGCCCCGGGGCCAGTTTCTGAGTACCCCTCTTTGCGAGGAAGCGTCGGCAAGGCTGCCTCGTAGAAAAAACAAAATCGCTGCGCGAGATACGGACCGAAGTGTGGCAGCTTGGTGATGGACCTGGCCAGAGTTTCTTTGCCTCCAGGAACTGCCTCTCTGCGTCTGCTTCAAGGTCGGCCTCGAGCAACATCTTGCGCAAAAAGGACCAGGCCTGCCCAGGTTGCTTGGCTCGCAGCGTGCCTTGCAAGGCTCGTGCAGCTCGGAAGGAACCATCCGCCAAGTTGGCCGGGTGGTCGGCATTGTTGGCTTGCATGGCCATCAGCTTCGCACACAAGTCGGTACGGATTCTCAAAGGCCGGGGCAGGAGCACCTTCCACTACGCTGCGAACAGAAGCCGTTGCAGGATCCGTGGCCAGGCAAAAAACCTGCCTTCCCTTTGGCGGACTATTGTCCCGCACGTCAGCCCTGGCTGGACATCTCGCCCAAAGACCAATCTATGCCTTATGCTCTTGGCGCACACATACGTGATAGTCATATATGCCTCACAATACTAACCTTGCTACTAGACCCGAGTGCATGTACTCGGTGGTTTGGATCCCTCAAAACCCATGCTAAACAACTCTGAGAACCACCAATTATGAGATACACTGAACCTTCAAAGTCCCCTTTACCCCTGAGCAAAATCCTCATAGAAACCTCCTCAGAACTCGGGATTACCCGACTCGCTGTATAATCCAAGGGTAAAAGGAGGGACCCTTAATAAGGACCCCTAGGTATATACCCTAAACATAGCTATTATATACCCATTATATAGCCCATTATAGGGCAGGGGTCCCCATTAAGGGTCCCTCCGTTTCCCCTTTGCTGTACACGTACTCCGAAGCCTTAAAGCTTTTATCCGGCCCGGCCTGTTCGCCCGGACCAATCGTCACTCGGCTTCGACAGGGTCGGAATCTGGGCAAGGAAGCGACTGGTGTTGTATGGTGTTACAATAGGGGGGTGAAGCAGTACAATAACAGGGTTCCTTTATAAGGTTCTTATGTAGATATATGTTCATGGCGTTGAAAAAATGAAAGACCATGACAGAGGGTTTAGAGTAAGCTTTATGATACTTGGAGTTCTGAACTCTAAAACATAAGCCCTAAGCGTTTTTAGTGTAGGGATTTCGATAGTAAGGTTTAGGCGCGTAGAGTTGAGGAGATTAGGGCAAATTGGGTTGTGTTTCCGGTTTTGAGTTTGACACTTTTTGGCTCTAGGTTTCATAGGTTTACGAGTTTGGTTCTAGTGAGTTGGGTTCTGGAGAGGTTTCCATTGTACCCAACCACTTGTCGGGTATCATGGGGAACTAAAGGTTAACCTTTATGGCTATATAGGTTATAGGGATTATAGGGACTATACCACCCAAAAAAGGTTAAAGGTTGCTTACTCTACTTAGGCCTACTATCTTCTTTGGATGCATTGGATGCCTGGACCCCGGAACCTAAGCCTCTAGGATGGAACTTACGCAAATCGTTTTCTGGCTTAGGGGCTCGGGTTTAGGGTTTAGGGTTAGAGGTTAGGGTTTAGGGCTTAAAATAAACCTAACGAGACCTGTGGCCCGGAAAGAACCTGCCGCTTCTGAAGTTGGCATTATAGGCGTCGTTGTGATGCCGTCGATTTGGGAGTTTCCGAAAACAAGGGGTACCCCATTTTGGGGGTCCCTATAATAAGGATCCTACCATTTAGGGTGCTATATTAGGGTCCCCTATATTCGGAAACTCCCATTTCGGTTAAGGGGCTAGGACTTAAGCTTTCTAAACTCTAAACGCCACACACTAAAACGAGGTTTATGCTTTGTAAGCTCTCGTTCTCTAACGGGTTTGTGGTTCAGATCCGAGCATCCCAAAAGCTGCATGACGAGAAGTCCCTCGAGAAGCGTAACAGAGGTGCCTTGAGAATACAGTAGAAGCCAGAAAGTTGGAATATCAATATCGTATCCCCTTTAAGGTAAGTTATAGGGGATCCTACCATTAATCCATATTCCAACTTTCTGGGGTTCCCTTTAGGGTTCCAGATTCTGAAAGGGCTTAGGAGCCTGAATAGTTCGAACAGGGCTATTTTCAGGGAACTTTTATAGAAGGAGTTTCGACAAGGGTTATATAACTTAGATGCAATGTGGGTTCGGTTCGGGTTTAGGGGCCTAATGGGTTTCGGGGCAAAAGCTGTGCGATTGGGCATTAGAAGGCTGTCAGGACAGCAATCTGCAAATGCCAATGACTATAAGGAGGTATATACCTGACTTGGAGGGTCGGGGCACTCAGAAAACAGGTAATAACTAGAGTGATAAATTACCTAAAAGGGATCCTGGTTGGGGTTATAGTATTTATAACTCTAAGACGAAACTACTTGCCAAATCGACCCTCCAAGAAGTCCTTAGGGAAATACAGAGTCCACGAAAGCCAGGGGGCGACTTCAATGCCGCGCTTCTTCCAATCCTTGAGGAGCTACGAAAGCCTACAGAAAACCCCCACCCTAAACCCCTAAACCCGATAAGCCCTAAACCCAAAACCCTGAATCCCCTAAACCCTAAACCCCTAAACCCTGTATCCCCTAATCCCTAAACCCCTAAACCCTAAAACCCTAAACCCTGAAAACCCTAAACCCCTAAACCCGTAAAAACCCTAAACCCCTAAACCCTTGAACCCTGAACCCCAAATGCGCAATTAGAAGGCTTCCCCGCCAGCGGCCTCTTGGTTCAGGGATGAGGCCTTTACAGGTTTTTGGGGTTTATGGCTTAAGATGGGGCTAAATATGGGTTTGGGTGTAGGGTTTAAGGTTTTAGGGGTTAGCAAGCCCTGGTTATAAATATATAATATTGCACAGTATACCACCCAAAACTCTACTACTCTAATTACAAGTCGTCAGGCCCGTATGTTCGGGCCCTTACCATCTTACATCTTACAGGGCTCAGGCTTGAATTTCTTGGGTCTCCGGGTTTCAGGATCAGAATCAGGACTGAGGAGCCAAAGTAAAGCCGCAGCATGCTTGGCCGACTTCTGAATCCCTCCTGAAAGTTAAACTTTTTGCCTGCTTAGTGCAGTTCAAAAGCTCTATACTGAACTTAGAACCCTAGCAACAAATAAGTTTTAGCTGTTTCTTAGGGATTATAATAGCAAAAAATGAAATATATTTCTAAGTACCCCTAAGACAAGTCCTAAGAGCCAAGCCGAGGAGTGCCAAGCATGGGGTTCAGGGTTTGGGTCTCCGTGGGGCTCTGAGGGTTTAGGGTTTAGGGTGCTTTGCATTCACGGTCTGAGTTTCTGATGATTTGGATTGAACCCCAAACCCTTAACCCCTGAACCTACCTGGACCCTACCTGCCTTTCTAGGGTTCCCTAATATGATTTCTTTATCTGTCCCTATAAGGTAGGATACTTGGTGGGGTTAAGGTAAACATAAACCCTGAAGTCAGCCTTCTGAAAAGACAAACCCCTGAACCCGCAAGTTTCTGACGATCTGGGGTCAGGAAGTGCCGGACCCAGCGATGAGCTCCGAAGTAGTGCATCAAGGCACGGGAATCTAAAAGCACAGGAGATGCAAAAGCCCGGAAACACAAAGTCCCAAACATCGCATGGACGGGTTGCAGCTCAGGGGGCCCCTAAGGGTGTTTATGAACAGGTACCTCTATAGAAACCATAAGGGGGAATTCAAAAGCTTCCCAACCTGCCACCTAGTAGCCCTGAAGCCCTGAACCCCGAAGGCCCCAGCAGCCGAAAAGCCCTAAACGGTTTGGGGTTTAGGGGTTTAGGGTTTAGGGTTTAGGGGTTTAGGGTTTAGGGTTTAGGGTTTAGGGGTTTAGGGTTTAGGGGTTTAGGGTTTAGGGCTTAGGGGTGAAACTCTAATCCGGCAAAACGTGGCGCTTGAACTCCCTGGGACCTTGAAGCCCTAAATCCCCGAAACCACGAAGCTTGCTAAATCCTGTAGGCCACAAGGAGCAATTGCACCCGACCAAAAACGAAAAAAACACCAAACTCCTGAACCACAAATCTCGAAACACTCAAACCCTACATCCTTGACCTTGATCCTGCGTCTGCCAGCTCCAGCAAAAATCAACCTCGAAACTATTCTAGCTAAGGCTCTCCAAATCGATCTGCATAGGCCATTCCTGATTCAGTCCTGCGTAACGCTTAGGGTTTACCCAAACCTACCAATACCGACGTTTTTCTGAAAGGGTCCTTGTAAATCATGAAATTTGGGTTTATAATACGAACCTACAAATAAGCACAGCAGGTTATGGTAGTTCAAGGTAAGGTTCAAGATATTTGAAAGCCATCTTCTGGGGAGAATTTCGGACCGCTCGCAGAGTTGAGGTTCATGGGTTAGGGTTAGGGTTTAAGGGTTCCGGCTTACATGTCTCATATGGGGGCTTTGATAAGTTCAGTACGGTCTTCGGGGGTATATTAGAGTAGAGTCACGTAGGGCCTACAGAAGGTCATTCCATTTGGGCCTGGGGCTTGTGACCGGCTTGTGAGCCGCGCAAAGCTTGGAGAGGGGTGGAGAACCTTTCTAGGCCAACCTTGCAAGGATGTGCGGTTTAGGGTTTAGGGTTTAAACCCTAAGCTAAACCCTAAACCGCCCTTGCCTGAGACATAACTCGCGAGGTGCGCCTATCCCTGTCAATGCATCACAACGGAACAGCCAAACTCCACACTCAATAAGTGTTCGGTTCTTTTCAGATTATGGCTTTCTCTGTCCGGGCTTTGCCCTGGGACTCCAAGCAGGCCTAAGTAGGTACGGTTCAAAGGCTTTGGACAACTCTGCTTGCAGGCTGAAGACCGGTACAGCCTAAAGCCGAAACCTTCAACAAAGGAGGTGATTAACTTCTGAATTTCAAGACTTCTGTAGGATTTTGTACTGTTCCAGGAGTCAGTTCCAAGGTATGTCGGTCGTCTTGGGTGAGAGATTCCAGGGCTAGTTTAAGTTCAGGATTTCGGGTTTCAGGGGTTCAGGGCTTTAGGGTTTGGGGTCTTGCATTTAGGATGTGGTTCAGGGTTGAAGCCCTTTTAAGTACAAGCCGTCACGCTCCAGTCCTTGCGCCATAGTAGAGGCGGCATGTCTTGCCCTTCAAAGCGTCGGACTCGATGACTGCCCTGCCAGATTTTGTGAGAGCACAAGCTTCAAGATGTAATTTAAAACGCAGGGGCCTTAACAATCAGAATAGGGTTTTGGGACCACTATACTATAACTATAATAAGGACCCCCCCCCCCCCCCCCCCACAAAAAAAAAAAAAAACGAAATAGTGTGAGTTAATATTTAAGCCCCTATATTAAGAATCTTCCCCTAAGGCTCTGAGGACTGAGCCCTGAATCCCAAACCCAAAAGCTCCAAGGACAGAGACTGGCCTCGATTTAGAGTTTAGGGGTTTACTGGTTTGGGGTTTAGGGGTTTAGGGTTTTTGGGTTGAGAGTTTAGGGGTTTACTGGTTTTGGGTTTAGGGGTTTAGGGTTTTTGGGTTGAGGGTTTAGGGGTTTTGGGTATAGGGTTTAGGGTTTTTGGGTTTAGGGGACTCCACGGACTTATCGAGTTTCCGAGCCTGTGGGTTGAAGTTGGAGTTTCAGCCTCAGGGTTGATAAATGCAGGAAAGGTTCCTGCTAGCAGTGCAGCGAAGCAGAGCTGTAATGACTCAGAGTTTAGGATCTTTGATAAATAGTAATCTCGCATAGAAATCCTATCAAGTTTAGGATTTTTTATAAATACATTAGTAATCTCGTATAGAAATCCTGTCAAGGCGTGGCAATTCAAGCCTACTTACTTAAACGGAACAGCTGCGGGTAAATGCTTCGACTATTATCCTGCGCACACAGAGCAGCAGATTGAGCTGCTGCGTTCCCAAACCTAAACCCTCAACAAATCCAAAACCTTAAGCCCTCAGCCCTAAACCCTGGTGATTTCACCTTGTAGTTTCAGATTTCCCGGGGTTTCATCTCTTTGCCTTCTCCCCCGACTCACCCTGCCCAAACCTTCCAAAATCCCTTAAAGAAGGAAATGCACCGTAAATCTTATCCAGCATCCTACTTCAATTCAAAGTATCTGATTAAGAGATATTCCCAGAGGGTCCAAGTACCCAAACAGCAGGGTTTTAAATCCCAAAATCCATCCCCCGACTGGTTTTTGGAGCTTGAAACCTTACTATTTGGGTACTTGGACCCTTCGGGATTGGAAGGTCTGGGCCGGCCATCTTCCACGAAATCCGCTCTGCACGACGCAATTGCCCCATGGCCCAACCCTGAACCCTGCCAAGACCCGCCCCTCAAAGGTACCCTTGACTTGAGTCCACCTGATCCGTGATAGTTAGTGTGCGTGTGTGTGTGTTGAGGGTTTAGGGGAGTGCCCACAGCCATCAACCTTCCAGCCCCAGTGTAAACTTCAAAATGCCACCAGAACCAGCGCGCACAGGGTCGGTGAACCTCCAACCCCTCATGTAGGATCCTGAAATAACCTTCTTTCACAGCTAAAGCAAGGCTTTCGGGAAATTATGGTACAATTCTTGGGATTGAAAAATAGCCCTAAACCCTAAACCCCTAAACTTTCCCGAAACCCTAAACCCCTAAACCCAAAGGATTACTCATTCTAATTATTCGGACCCCTAATGTAGGAACCTGGTTAAGAAATCCCGGCCCTATAAACCCCAATATTCTAGGATTCATATAAGGAACCCTCATAAACGCCCAAGGTCTCTTAATCAGGTTCCTACACTACCCTAAACAAGCGGTGGGGTAGGACCCTGCGGGTAATGTTAAGGTTTGCAATGCCAGACCATCCCCTAACGGTCCATGTGCCCAAATGGGGGTTTCCGAGAATAGGGGACCTGAATGTCGTGCCCTAAACAGCAGGATCCTCATCATAAGGACCCCAAAACAAGGCACCCCCCCAATTTTCGGAAACTCCCATATGAGCCCCAAAAACGTCTACATATGAGCCCCACCCCAAAATGGAGGGTTTCCGCAGTCCTCATCGGTGCGACACCGGAGCCGGTGGCGAAGATGTTCCTCGGTTTGAGAGGGTTCCAAAAAGCTTTAAGGGTGGGATGATTGTAGGTGGGTCGGGTTTAGGGGTTTAGGGTTTAGGGCTTAGGGGTTGAGGGTTCAGGGTTTAGATTTAGGATTTAAGGGTCTAGGTTAGGGGCTTAGGGTTTAGGATGGAGGGTTTAGGTGAAGAGCCCATGTACCATTCCGCCTTCTGAAACCCCTGATACACATGTCAGTCACTCAGACCCTATGGGTCTAATGCACCAATATATACTAACATGAGCATATCAAAGTAGTGTCCGGCATGCTATAGCATAGTATCGTACAGTATAGTACAGTACAGTTTCGTCTTGTCTAATCTAGTGTCTAGTATAGCATCGTGTAGTATGGTGGGACCTAAACCGTAAACCCTAAACCCCTAAACCCCAGGGCTCTGTGGGCCGGGGCTCACCTGCTTGACGCCGCCCTCCTTCCAGGCTTCGCAGCCTACGTCGAAGCCTTTGCCTTGGCTTCAGGGGTTCCTTCAAGGGTTTAGAGCTTAGCGTTTAGGATTTAGGGTTCATTTAAGGGTTTAGAGCTTTAGGGTTGAGGATTTAGGGTTCCTTTAGGGTTTAGAGCTTCAGGGCCTAGGTTTTAGGGTTCTTTTCAGGGTTTAGAGCTTTAGGGTTGAGGATTTAGGGTTCCTTTAAGGGTTTAGAGCTTTAGGGTTTAGGATTTAGGGTTCCGGGGCTTGGGGGTTCAGGGCTTTAGGGGTTTGGGGTTTAGGGCTTTAGGGGTTTTGGGTTTAGGGGTTTAGGGGTTAAGGGTCGACTGGGATCCCTGGACAGGTTTCTTTAAGAGGTCATTTAGGATTCCTGTAAGGGTGGTGAGGGGTATAGTGTGTGCCTGGCTAGAATACCCTGCATGTCTGGGGTTCGTTCTGATTGTAGTAGCCTCCCTCTCGAGGCATGATGTGGAGACCTTTGGGCACGTGGGGCGGTCATGCTTGGGCTTCTTTACTATGACTTCCTTATAGGTTCAGGTATCGGTTAGTTAAGGGTTTAGTGGTCTATGGTTTCGGGTTTGGGCTTGAGGAGTTTGTCTTTCGGGTTCACGGCTTCGGTTTGGTGTCTTATTGTAAGGCTCTCGAAGGTTCTTGCAGCACGCAGAGTTGATGCCTGCGCCCCCCAACTAGCTTGTACTAGACCTAAGGCCTATAATAGCCAAGACATCGGCAGCACAAAACTATTAGAAACTAAGAAATCGTCTAGAAAGGCATACCAACCCTTACAAGCAAGCCGCATAAAAACACGAATGTGCGCCACGGCAAGAATGCAAAACACATCTTACAGTCCTAACATCCTCAAACCTTAACGCCCTAAACCCGAAATCCCTGAACCCCTAAACCGAAAACCTCAAGTCAAACCAGCCAAGACACCCATGGCTGGGCTTAGCTTCACCAGATCGCCGGCCTGGAAAAGTGGGACGTTCAAGGTCTAGGGGTTTAGAGGCTTAGGGGTTTGGTTTAGGGTTCAGGGCTTAGGGGTTTAAGGGTTTGGTTTAGGGTTTAGGACTTATGGGTCTAGGAGTTCAAGATTCAGGGTTTAGGGCTTACGGGCATAGGGATTTGGTTTAGGGTTCAGGGCAGTCCCTTCTTGGAGTTTCGGGCATACAGGTTTAGTGTTTAGAGCTCAGGGTTTATGCGAGGCTTAGTTTTCCCTAGAGCCCTTGTCGTCTGCACGAAGTCCACGTTGGGGCTTAGGGCCTCAGGGTTTGGAGTTTTAAGTCGTAGCTATAGTCCATGGTTGGGATAATAGCGGAAATCTAAGAGCTGTGTGTATTCCTTCTGGGTTCAAGTATCTATATGTATGTAAAATGTTGTCCAGCTATGACGAAGATAGGGGAGTTAAGGTTCAGAGCTTAGACTAAAGGTTTTATTGTATCTATTAGGGGTTGAGAGTATACCTAGACCATTAGATGTGAGGACTTGTGGGGTTTCCTTAGGTTCTAATTTTGGGATCCTGACCATAAAGTAAACCATCAAACAAAAGGTGCTACATTTAAGGGTCTAGGTATGGCCTAGGGGATTTAGGGTTTCTAGGTGCTGGAAAGCCACCCTAAACCCTAAACCCTAAACCCTAACGCCAAACCCCCAAACTCCTAAACCCACAAGCCTCAAAACCCCCAAGCTCCTCAATCCTAAACCCTAACCCCTAAACCCCTCAATCGTAAACCCTAAACCCCTCAATCCTACACCCTCACCCCTAAACCCCTAAACCCCCCAAACCGTTCAATCCTAAACCCTAGACCCCTAAACCCCTGAATCCTAAACCCTAAACCCCTCTACCAGACGCCCCATATTAGTTCCCTTTTGGGATTACCTGAGAGGATTCCAAAAATAAGCCACAAAAAGGAACTACTATGGGGCCTCTGGGTACTAAGACGGACCCTCTTAACCCCTAAACCCTATAACCCTAAAGCCCCAACCCTTAATTTGAACCACTAAACCCCTAAGCCATAAACCCCTAAACCCCTAAACCCCCCAAACCCCTCAACCCTAAACCCCTCTACTAAGATGGACGCATAGTAGTTCGTTTTTGAGATTACCTGATAGTATGGGGCCTCTGGGTACTGCATAAGACGGACCCTCCTGGAAAAAAACCCTAACCCTTAAACCCCAAAACTCTCACCCCTAAACCCTTAACCCCTAAACCCCTAAACCCTAAACCCCCCAATCCTAAACTCTAACTCCCAAGCCTCTAAACCCCTAAACCCCCAAACCCCTCAACCCTAAACCCTAAACGGCCCTAAACCCCCCTTACTAAGACGGACCCATAGTAGTTCCTTTTTGTGAATTACATGATAGTATGGGGCCTCTGGGTACTACTATACTGAACTTAGAACCCTAGCACAAATTATCATTTTCGCTGTTTCTTAGGGATTATAATAACCAAAAAAGTTATTTCTAAGTACCCCTAAGATAAGAATCATTATAGCTGTTTTTTAGGGATTATAATAACCAAAAAAGTTATTTCTAAGTACCCCTAAGATAAGAATCATTATAGCTGTTTCTTAGGGATTATAATAACCGAACAAATCATTTCTAAGTACCCCTACGATAAGAATCATTATAGCTGCTTCTTAGGGATTATAATAACCAAAAAAGTTATTTCTAAGTACCCCTAAGATAAGAATCATTATAGCTGTTTCTTAGGGATTATAATAACCGAACAAATCATTTCTAAGTACCCCTAAGATAAGAATCATTATAGCTGTTTCTTAGGGATTATAATAACCAAAAAAGTTATTTCTAAGTACCCCTAAGATAAGAATCATTATAGCTGTTTCTTAGGGATTATAATAACCGAACAAATCATTTCTAAGTACCCCTAAGATAAGATGGACCCTCTTGGAAAAGCCGGGCCTTGGCTTCGGTGATCCAGGCGTTGGACTCCGCCTCCTCGAAAACAGCGGCAAAGCGGGGGCCAAAGGCTTCGTAGTGTCGTAGATTTAGGCTTCCGTTAAGTTTTTTTAATTTTAAGCGCATTTTTGTGTTTTCCTGTAAGGACTTTAGGGTTTGGGGTTTCAGCCTTCGGATTTAAGGATTTAGGCCTTCCTTTAAGGGGCTTTGGGGGTTTAGGGTTTCGGATGCAAGGGTTTGGGGATGTAGGTTTCCTTTTAAAGGGGTTTTGGGTTTAAGTTTTCGGATTTAAGGGTTTAGGGGTTTAGGGTTTAAGGGTATGGGAATAAAGGGTCCAAGTAATTACTCCTTGTTAAAGCACTTTGGGGCCTTCCTGCATACCAAAACCAGAAGTAAGGACTACTTGGAAACCCTAAACCCTAAACCCTAAACCCTAAACCGTCCCATGTAGTTTCCTTTGAGGGGGGCCCTGGGTTCAAGGTTTCGGGTTTAAGGGTTTCGTGGTTTAGGGTTGACTTAGGGGTATGGGAACTCTGCACATGTTTCTTAATCAGCTTGCCCAAGCAAAAGTACTTCGCGCTTGGGAACTACTGGCTTACACAATCTTGAATAGTATGCAGGAATCACGGATCCTCACTCATGGTGGCGCAATTGTCCAGCCGCAGCTGCAGGTCTGGTGTGCATGGCTGCGACAATCGGCTTGGTGACCACTACGACCAACCAGGCAAGGCTGTCGATAGAGCACGCTGATGGTACCCTTTATGGTACACTACGACCAACAGCAGCAACGCTGCAAGCTTCACGCACCTGCAGGCCGTCCTGCTTCGATCGGAAAGTTGCTCGCGCTGCGGCGTGCTCGGAATCCATCGCCACCTGGCAAGCGTTGCGAATGTGCGATCCTGGCCAAGTGTCGATGAGGTGCAAAACACCTGCGCCTTCTCGGCGGCCATGTTCAAGGATTCTCTTCATGGCAGGGTCCCTTTAAGTTTTGCGGGCTCCTTTCCGGGAGCGCCCCCAAGTTTAAAGAGCCGTTATGCTTTGCGTGGGCGAGCATGAAATTTAGGAATTAAAAGCTTGGGGCATTCGTGGATTTAGAACCCGAAACCCTCCTACACCCAAACCGCTAATTTCTAGAACCCTAGACCCTACTCTCTTTGTAAAACCAAAAAACGAAACCCTAACAACTAAACCCTTTGAACATACGCATCTCGGGTTTAGGGTTGAGGATTAAAGGACTTTTAGGGTTTGCGGTGTCGTGTCGACAAACATCAAACCAATGTCCTAAATCATCCTGTCTATCTTTCCACGCAAGCTGAAGGCTGTACTGCTACGAGGCAGTGCAAAAGGTCTACGAAGAAACACATGGCGGATTCACAAAAAGCGTTGACGAGTTTAGAAGACTTTAGTATACGGGGCCTTGACAATTACATTTTCAACGCTTCTTTAACAGGTTCGATAAACAAAGTGATTTGAAGTGTTAATCTAGGGCCCTGAACTGAACCAGGGGCTTCACGCCTACAGTCATCCTAAACGCTGTACCCTAAACCTAAACTTACCTAAACCGAAACCCATAATCCCCCTACAGGAACCCCTGAAGGGAGGCTTGAAGCAAGGTTCAATCCTCGAACTGAAACCCTTCAACAACTCCCAAAACCTAAATCCTATACCCTGAACCCTGCTAAATCCTGCAAGGCCTCACCAGACCCCGCAAAGCACCACTAAACCCTGCAAATCATACTAAACCTCACCAAGCCCTACCAAATCTCACGAAATGCTGTTGACCCTTCCACTGCACCCTACTACCTACTAAACCTACTAAACCTACTAAACCCTACTAAACCTACTAAGCCCCACTAAACCCTACTAAACCTATTAAGCCCCACTAAACCCTACTAAACCTATTAAGCCCCACTAAACCCTGCTAAACCGACTGAACCCTAAGCCCTTCAAGCGGAGACCTTGATGAGGAACTCGAGGTCTCCGCTCCCCGGGGCGCTTGAAATGGCGTAGAAGGATGGCTTGGCCTGGAAAGGAGGGCTGGTATGGGTGGGGTTTGGGTTTAGGATATAGGGTATAGGGTGAAGGGTTTAGGGTATAGGGTTTAGGGTATAGGGTTTAGGGTAAAAGGTTTAGGGTATAGGGTATCGGGTAACGTATGGGCTTAGTGGCGTTTGCGGTTTAGGGTTTAGGGTTGGCTTTGCCGGGGTTTTTAGGAGTAGGCTATATAGGGTTGGGTGTTAAGCTTGAGGGTTTAGAGCTTGCAGGTGTTGGGGCTAGTAATGGGCCTGGCTTCAGGGCTTTAGGGTTTTAAAGTTAGGGGGATGAGGGTTCAGGGCTCGAGTGGTTTAGGAGCTCAGGGTCTAGAGTTTGGGGATTGCATAGAGAATGGCGTTCAGGGTTTTATGACTTGCATGATTCTAGTGTTTTTGGGTGGAGCCTGGGACTTGCTTTCGACAAACCCACCAGGCTTGTTTAAAGTGGGATTTACAAGCCGTTTTGGATGAATATACTCTTTCTTAATGCCTTGAAAGACGACAGTCAGGTTCTGCGGCTTCATGTTTAGATTCATAAGTTTGTCGGTTTTGTGAAATAGAGACGCCGCTGACTTGTCATCCACGTTGTCTCGGACCCCATAAAACCTAAACCCTAAACCCTCAAGCCTAAACTCCCAAACCCTAAAACCCTGAAACCCCAAACCCTCAACCCTAAACCCCCGAAGGAATAGTTCGCACCTCATCGTCTGCCTTTGCTTGTACAAACTGCCCACCGCGCTGGTATGGCTTCGACACATCCTGGCAAGAGGGTTTAGGGTTAGGGTTATAGAGTTAAGGCAAACTGCGGTTTCTGCACCTTCAGCTGCTGAAGCAGAGTTTTGTTTTGCAGGGCCCCCATGAGTCTTGTAATTTGGATTTGCTGCAAGAAGCTACACGAAAAGTAGGTTATGGTAGTTTAAGGAACCCCAAGCCCGAAACCCCAAAAGTTAGGGTTTACAGTAGGGTCAAAATCCACATCGCCGAAGTTCGAAACAACCTGACACCCCAAACGTCTACAGTCGAAAACGTCAAACCCCAAAAACCCAAGGAAAGATGCCGAATGTGAGTGCCTTAACAGATAGTAGAGTGTTTGGGGGGGGCATATTATACTATACGTGCAATACTAAGGACCAACCCCCCGCAAAAGAAAAAAAAACAATTCTAATTGTTAAGGCGCCTACACTCTCGAACTCTATATGGATTGCTTCTAGAACCCTTTATATAAACCCTATTCTAATTATTAAAGGCCCCTACACTTTAGCACTCCAGTATAGATCCCGGAAAAAACTCCGAGAAAAGAAACCCTTTAGAGGAACCCTATTCTAGTTATTAAGACTCCCTACCCTAAACCCTAAAGCCTAAACCCTATTCTCTTTATTAAGACTCCTCAAGCCCATTATATAGTATATAGCCTATTATAGGGTAGGGGTCCCCATTAAGGGTCCCTCTTTTAACCCTATTCTAAAAATTAAGGCCCCTACACTAAAGCCTTTACTACCTATAGTCTGCATTGTAGTTCCTTTTTGGGGATATCTTTTAGGATCTCTAATATAGAATTGGTTAAACCAAAAAAAGGAACTACAATGGAGACTATAGGTAAGACTCCTCAAGCCGACTTCCGGGCCTCTCCCGCAGTTACGGAGATCAGTCGGAGACCTTCTGCCGCCTGCAGGCGGAGTGCCGCTGGCGCTGGGGTTTCGGGATTTAGGCTTTAGGGTTTCGGATTCTTGAATTTGGGGTTTAGGGTTTCGGATTATTGACTTTGGGGTTTAGGATTTAGGATTTGGAGTCTGGGGTTTTTATCTTCAGCTTCCCCTCAGGGTCCATGTAAACAAAGAGGGCCTATTAAACAGGGTTCCTTTAAGGGCACCGTAAGGGCTGATTTAAGGGATCTGTAAGGGTCCTACGGGGGTTTAGAGTCTAAGGGTCTATGCTCCCACGTAGGGTTCCTTTCAGGGTACGATAATGTAACACAGGGTGAAAGGGTCCATGTACCCACATTGGTATCTACTTTGGCCCTAAAAACTCCACACATAGGTACGTTAGGGCCGAAGTATTATATCGATGTGTATAATTATGTGTGTGTGTATATATATATATATATATATATATGTGTATGTATGGGTGCATGAGCTACTTGTCCAGCTTCCTGCGACGTTAATTCTTTGAACCACATAGATTCCGTACAGCATCAACTCTCAGCGGTTGCTGGGCCTGCTAACCCATCCCAATGATCTCAACCAACAGATTGGTTAACTCCAAACAGAACTACGATGAAGACAAGATCGGAGAATCTTGGCAATTAGGGCTTGGACGAAGGGTCAACGGCTTGCGGCGCATGGTCCTTCGGAACCAGTGCAATTGGGTGTTCCATACGGACCCAAAGAAGGCCGAGGTACTAGGATTCCCTCAAAGGATCCCAAATACCGATGTGGGAGTTTGCGAAAATATGGGACCCTAAGAGGGATCCTTTGGGGGCTTTAAGTATAAGGGTTCTATAAAGGGTTTAGGGTTTAGAGTCTCCGAGAATATGGGACCCTAATATACCAGGATTCTAATCACAAACGGACCCCAACATAAGGTACCCTAATTTTCGGAAACTCCCTTGTAAGTGGATGGGAGATACCTCTGCAAGAATCACCAACCCCTCGGGATATCAGCACCCCCCCCCCATTTTTTCCACATACCGCCCACCCGCAGGCACAACATCCTACGGACATCAGCATGGCGGTTCTCCAGATGCACATCTGTTTAGAGTCTAGTCTAGGTTCGAAGTTGCAGGCTGCGGGGTTTAACTTAGGGTACAGGACTCAGGATTCGGGGGTGAAGGGTGTAAGGCTGAGGGCTGGAAACTGGTGTAGAAGACCAGTTAAACATGTTACTGTTCCGCGGCTATAGTGTTCAGAAAAAATGCCCGAAGACGGTAACTGACTCCTTTGCTGCCCGGCTACAAAGACGAATAAACGTGGCTCTCGGGAACATGCTAACCAGGCGTAATCCGCGACTGTTCCGATTCCCTAAGGGTCCATGCAGCCAAATAGTATATACTTTGGCCCCAAAGTACCTATATAGGGACTACTTGAAGGCAAAGTATATACTACTTGGGCACATGGACCCTTATACTCCAAACCCTTATAGAACCCTTATGAACCCCTTAGAAGGGGCCCTTATGGTACCCCTAAAGTATATACTACTTGGGTACATGGACCCTTCCACCCTAAACCCTGATAGAACTATTATGGATCCCTTAAAGGAGCCCTTATGGTACCCGTAAAGGGACCCTATTTGGGTGCACGGACCCTTCGGGATTTCCTGGCTCTGATGGAAGGAAGCCATCTTTGCCAGGTTCGTCGTCAGCAGCACGTACTTCCCTAAGTCATAATGCTAATTCCTAATATGGAAACCCCACATACGACTTTATCGGTACATAGGACCCTTTGTGTGCTTGATCAGGGTCTAGGGTTTAGGGTTTGGGAGAATTCTGGGACCATACAAGACACGCTAGCGGATGCGCCAGTTTCTAGAACCACTCAAGCCCCAAATGCGAAGCCCCTACAGCCGCCTCCACATTGGAAGCCACTGAAGCCTCGTAGAAGGTGACATCCTTCGTGAAGCTAGCAGTGGAAAGATGTGTAGCACTTAGAGTTTAGGGGCTTTGGGCACAAGACGGTTTAGGATTATGGCGAGCGATGGTTCCTATAAAGTTTAGGATCCCGGAGTTGATTCAAGGCTTTTGGAAACCAGAGTTGAGGAGTTAGTGAATAGGGAATGATGAGCAGAGCAGTGCCAGAGTCCTCAAGCCCTCAACCTGAAAACCCAGACACCTGTATCACCTCCCAGGCCGGATAAATCGTAGCACGCATACATCTGTGTGTATAAATATACATACATATATATATATATATACACAGAGAGAAAGACGTGTGACATTGACGTGCATGATGTGCGTGGGTGCTTGTCTGCATGGAAGGATGGAAGGATGGATGGATGTGCGGACGTGTGGATGTGAAAATGGTGTCTGTATGTATGTATGTGCATGTACATGTAGTTTATACGTCTGCTGCGCAGTTGTATACATATATGTGTGTATAATATACTCATACAGATATGTATTTACACACGCTGTATATGTACAAATAGACTCTGCATGTGTCTGTATATATACATGTATATATATATATATATATATGTACATAAATATCAATAGTAAGAAAAAGTTATGTTATGGAATATTACAATATATTATATAATTATGTTATATGAATACACACCTATGAAAATGTTAAGTTACACGAAAACAGAAACAGAGCCCCCGAAACGGCACACACCAAGACCCAACGTTTTGGCGGCCAGGGGACATCACCCCAGCCACGCCGGGCGACGCGGCTGCGACGAGGGCCACGGGTTGTTGCGGCCTGGGGGGGGGTTCTCTGAATCGGTACAGGCGGGTTAGGGTTTAGGGTGTAGGTTTTAGGGTTCGGTACAGGTTTGCGGGTTAGGATTTGGGGGTCCCGGGGTTAAATTCCAAAAGGGGGGTCAGGACTTAGGTTCCGTTAGGCTTTAGAGTTTGGGGCCTCGGGTTCCTTGTCGCTGTCTCCCCTTTGTGAAACTTGAGCGGGCCCTACCAAAAATAGTGTTGGGATCGGAAAGTTACGATTTACCGGAAATTAAACATGACGTAACATTCGATCCAGGGGCGATTCCTGCTCGTCGAAGTGCCCACAGGAATGAGGGGTTTGGGGATCAGGCTTTCGGCTAGGCCGAAAAAATAAAACCGAAACGTTAAGCCTTTCAGCCCAACTCTTTAAACCCAAACCCCAGACCCTTTAAAACTCAATGGAACCTCAAATCTTGGGCATCTTCTGACTGACAAAGGTGCACAGCAATCCTAGCACCCTTGTAGTAAGATCTGGGATAAGCTTCCCCCTTGATCCTTAAGGTTCACATGAAGGAACCTACGAGAATGGAGCTCTACAGCTGACACCATAGGCCATACTGTTGATGGACAACATCCTGCATGACCCATTAAATTATAAGGAATATACCATAGTTCCCATGGTTTAGAGTCCTTAGGGTCATGCAGGATTTCGTCCATCAACAGTATGTGAAATATGTGATACGAGCCCAAGCCCTGTAAAACGACTACAAGGTCTTCAAAGAATTGAGGGTTCAGGCCTTTTGGGTTTAAGACACCCTTGTAATGGAAGCCTTTTGAACACCCGTAACCTGTGAAATCCTTGGCTCTATAAGCAGGGACGCCCTAGAAGCAGAAGGCACCTTCACAGCAACGAAGGCTGTGCCGGCCGCCAGACCGAATGTGACCGGCAGCTGGGGTGCCAACTGAGCGTTTGGGGTCACTTGGGGTGGGGTCTGCACCCTGAGGTAAAGTTAGGCGTCGCAGCGGTTCCCGTCGAGTAGCTTCAGGGCCGAAATATATAGTGCAAGCATACAAGGACAGCTCAGGATAGGGATTCAAAGTAATCAAGGGATCCAAGAGGCCATGACGGTCCAGGCACCTGATTCCTCCCATGATGGAGCCCTGTGAGGCATCTTTCTCATGATTTGAGGTGTAGCAGAATCGCTTGAACAAGTTAATTAGCACTACAAACATTGGTATACCAAAAAAGCCCCTCTCTAGATTTCCGAACGCTTTTTCGAATTATCCTGATAACGCCGCTGCAAACCCAAGACCCGAATACCGTACTGGTTTAGCTTTGGGGCGCGCTCAAACCCTCTAAGTCAGAAATCCCCAGTCCCTCAGCCCCAAACGTGCCAACCGTACATCCTGATGCCCTAGACCCTATAAACCCTAAACCCTTAACCCTACCTATAGTCTCCATTGTAGTTCCTTTTTTTCGGTTTAACACATAATTCTGTATTAGAGATCCTAAAAGGTAACCCCAAAAAGGAACTACAAAGGAGACTATAGGTAGACCCAGCCCCCAGTTGCAGCCGCACTCAAACCCTAAAGCCCAAAAGCCCAAAAGTCACCCCAAGCCCTGAAGAAAACGCTGGAAGAGGAGAGTCCCAACAAAGCCAAACCTGACCTAATCTAGGGGCCATATTAGGGTTTAGGGTTTAGGGATTAGGGTTTAGGGTTTAGGGATTAGGGTTTAGGGTTTAGGGTTAATAATTAAATTTTAAAATAGCGATTTTGTGCCCCGTTCTACGGTTCTACGGAACCACCAAAAAATAATGGGTAAATAATATTAAGGCCCCTACAGTAGACATACCCGCAATAACCATAGTACCCTTTTGCCTGTTCTTCGGTCTGACGAAACGCAAAGCCCACAATGAAAAGATGAGAAAGGTTACCACTCGGGGAGACGTAGAATACGATGGACCAGAACCCCGTGAAACCCCATACATAAACCCCTAGACTATATACCAGGGAGACCTAGCACAACCCAATGCCAGGCAGCCCCGCCGATGCCGCGGGGGTCCGTGCGGCATGCACAGGCGCAGAAGGGCTCCGCAGGCCTTGGGCATGGTGATGGTTTTAGGGTTTAGGGTTAGGGGTTTAGGGTTTACCCATCGGCTCCATAGTAGTTCCTTTTCGAGATTACCGTATAGGATGTCTATATATGAACCCCGAAAAAAGAACTACTTTGGAGCCTCTAGGTAGGGTTCAAGGTTTAGGGAAGTTTAGGGTTTAGGGTTTGGGTTCAGGGTCAAGGTTACAATGCAGAGTTCAGGACGTTTTCTAAGCCAGTAAGGACCTAGTCGAGTGCACTCTACGTGTATGCTGACGAAAGTCTGAACTGGGTTCAAGGTTTATGACTTAAGGGTTTAGGGTTCTACAAATAGCGGTGCAAACTCGCGTTGTTGAAATTTGGGACAAAGTACTTGGTAAGTTGATCGCAAGGCAAAGGGCGAGGATTGGGCTGAAGATCAACCTCGCCCAAAAGCCTCTTATTACACATAGGGGGCCCTAAACAACTAGACCAGGAGGTTTTTGGGTATCTTAATCCTACTACCTAGACCAGGAGCTTTTGGGTATCTTAATCCTACTACCTAGACGAGGAGTTTTTGGGTATCTTAATCCTACTACGGTACCGTGGGTTTAGGGTTGGGAGGGGGGGGTGTTGGGTTGGGGACACAGGGTCTACACAATACCATGACTCTATTGGGCTTGCTGAGGCATGTCACTGCTGCTTGTTCGCACACCACCTCTCCAAAACCCTACCTAGAGTGATCCAGGTAGAGTCTTAAACAAATGTTCGTACTATTGTCGGGGTAATGGCCCTTCTTGAAAGGTACATTGGTTACTCTAGATAAACCCCTAAAGCTTAAACCTCAAACCCCAGATTTCCTCACCCGGATCCCCAAGTCCCCCGAAGCCGAAAGTTAGACCTAACCCTAAGGGTCCATTTTGCCAAAATAGTATATACTTTCATTTAGCCTTAAAGTAGTCCCTACGTAGGTAGGCATGCGGTTTGGGGCTTAGGATTAAGGGTCTAAAGGTTTGAGGACTGAAAGTTTTACGGTTTGGAGTTTAGAGCTATGTAAGGATTCAACTCCAAAAGCCGATACAAGTAGACTCTGCAACGCGAAAGATTAACTGCACCAGGTCAGAGCAAAAAACTATGCAAAACCATATAGCCACACAGGGACGTGTCTGAGAAACTTCAAGAATCCTTACTCAGATCCCTAGCAAGAAACCGGGATCGCCGATGCAGGTTTCAAGATTAAAACGTAAGCCCCGGCTTCTAACCACTCTCTCAACTGCAAGCCCCAAACTGCACCGCGCGAACCATAAACCCTGAACTCCGGAACCTGATGTTCTAGAGTATTGAACTACCGACCCGCACGGTGTCCTGGTCCCACTGGGGCGACAAAGGCCAATGCCATGGCAGCAACCAGCTGTAACCAGGAGGATTCCAACGAAAACACACACAGGGAAGCAAATGCAACCAGTCATCATGCAATGCTTAGCAGGATGAAGCATGGTGACATATGTTTTGGACATAGAGACCTGCTGAATGTCTCACACAGGATCAGGAAACTACATGCTGGAATAGGACTCATGGCCGCAAATGAACAACATCAGCTGCCCAAGCTGAGCTGATAGCTTCCAGCTGAGAGCCCAAGCCAAAGGAACATTCGGCTTAGGGGGTTTAAGGTTTACAGGGTTGAGGGTTTAAGGTTTAGAGCTTAGGGTTCCGCAGCCCAAACCAAGGCAGGCCTTCAGGTTCACAGTTTAGGGGGTATAGGGTTTCGGGTTTAGAGTTCCGGGTCTGGCACTTCGGATTTCATGGCAGAGCCCATCGAGGCGTTGCCCTCATGGATAATTTAGGGTTTAGGGTTTATAGGGTTTAGGGTTTAGGGTTTAGGGCAGATCCTGAGCCTTGGAATCAAACCTAAAGCTATAGACATGCAAGCCTGCAATGCCCCAAACTCCAAAAAATGTAAACCCTCAACCCTATACGGCCCCAAAGACCGGAACCCTCGAAAATCATGAGCTTGAGCACTGGCAACAATGCAATCCCGAAACCTGAAGTCGTGATGCTTAGACCCGAAGCCCTACACCCTGCAAAGGGAAATATGCCACCAAAACCCTCCATTTAAATCTGAAGCACTGAAAAGCCCTAAAACCCTCCGTTTACATCGGAAACACTGAACCCGAAATATTGAACCTGTACGGGCGCTAACATGACGGCCCTGAAAGTTAAAGACAAAGCGTTTACATTATTGTCAGAACGCCTAAGCACTGTCTCAACCCTACACCCTGCTCACCTTAAGATCCGTCGAGAGCCCAAAACCCTAAGGCTCCATGTACCCATATAGTAAATACTTAGGCCTTAAAGTACCTATATAGGGACTACTTTGGGGCTTAAGTATCTACTATAACGGTACATGGAGCCTTAGGGAAACCGAACTCTTGATTTCTGGTGCTCGCGACGAGGAGAAGTTCATCAACAGGCGGCCGCTCAAGCTTGCCAGGGCTGTCCTGCTAGAAACCCCCCAAAACCCTAAAAATCTCGAAACCCTAAACCCTAACAGTCCCTAATCCCCAAACTCTAAAAATCCCTAAACCCTAAACCTCCAAAATCCCTAAACCCCTAAAAATTCCTAAACAAGCTGCTCGCCGGGGTTAGGGCTGAGGGTGTAGGGCCGGCCTGCTGAGAACGGGCTTGACCCGAAATTACTTACCGAAGCAAGGGGATAGTTTAGGGGTTTAGGGTTTAAAGGGAACTCCAGAAAGTTGGAATATGGATTAATGGTAGGATCCCCTATAATTTACCTTAAAGGGGTTACGATAATGATATTCCAACTTTCTGGCTTCTACCTTAGGGGTTCAGGGTTTAGTCGTCCTGCTGCGTTGGGGTCGAAAGGCCTTGAACTATGAGCCCCAAACCCGCAACAGATGGCCTTTTGGGCCCAAAAGATTTGAAACTCAAGTCCTTAATTAGAGCCTTTGAGGACAGGGAAGCAGCAACCCCAGGGATCCGGAACTAACACCCTGAACCCTAAATCTTGTAGCATTAATTGCGGTTGATGATATAAATCCTAAGGACCCTAAACTATGGGAATTACGGTATATTCCTTATTATGGGTAACGCAGGATTTATATCATCCACCGTATGAACCCTGATCTTGGCCCTAAACTCTACAGCCCGGCCTCGAAACTCTCAACCTCAAGCCCTGAACCGCAACCCGCGTTCGCTCCTGGCAGTCTTCATGGAAAGCCCGGGGAGCGTGCACAACTCGAGAGGCACCTGAACTCCCACAAGATGTCTTTTTGAACCCTAAACCCGATAATCCCAATTACCCTCAAGTTCAAAGCAAAGTTCAAAGCAAAGCAGACTCAGAATGCTTGGCGTTTCTGCTTCGGACTCCCTGGCCTCAAACCTATAACCCTAAACCCATCCTAAACCCTAAAAACCCAATTAGTCTAAACCGACTCAGGGTTAGGGTGAGGAGTGGGGCTTGCGTACTTGAAGGATTATGGGACTTAGTAACTAGGGTTACAATTAAGGTAACATAGGTAACTATACTTATAGTTACGTCTAACCCCAATTAAGGTACCTATAACCTAACTTACTATGTCCCATGATCCTCCAAGTGGGGCCCTGGCATGACGGTGTGGATCGTATGTATTGTGGGGCGATGACAAAGTTTCCCAAACTGCCACCGAGTTACCCAGAAACATTCAAAGGGGTTTAGTGCGGGGCCTGCCAAACAAACGCACTGGTGGTGGCACCTGGTCTGTACCTAGACCCGAAAATGCAGCAATGTTTTTGGTTGCTTTAGTTTAAAAATTTTGGGAGCCTATCCATAAATTAAGTCATCCAATATAAGGTGCTACATTTAAGGGTCCAGGTAGTACGTTCATCTTTTGGGTGTTATCCAGGATTGAGTTGTGGAGGCGGCATCTTGCAACTTCGTCAGGACCCTATCTACAAGAACAAAGCAGCCTTCTGTTGAAAGCACTTCGTATTTCTGCACTTCATGAAGAAGGGAAGGCAACCGCAATCCTTTAAACTCAACGCGAGAGCCCACGCACTAAACCCTAAACCTGACAGAAACTGGTGCGGAAGGATTCACTATCCGAGATTTTTCAGCGCTTCTGCTAAGCAATGTGCTGCATACTGTCAAACTTTTCAGCAACCCAGCATCAGACATGATTTCTGCCCGGCTTGGAGTACAAAGGAAGATGGCTACAAGACGGCTGTCACCAGGAGCCATTGAGTTCATTGATCACATCGCCGACTTCAATCACGATTTTTACATCATTACCCTGCCTGTCAACGGTCACTTTACCCTTCTTGTCAAAGGCCTTCTTGACGTCTTCAAGATAATCCTTGAAAGGGCACCCTTTGAGAGCCGCTTCCATCTCTGCTGTCATTGATGTCGCTGTTACTGCCGACTTCGAGCATTCTGCAGTTGCGTCGAAATTGGCGTCCACCACCTGGGGCTTGGACTTGCTCTCAATGACCTCAACCGCCATGAGCTTGGCCCACATATCGGCCTTGGGAGATGGGATGTTCTCCTTGTAGTACCCTTCATTGGTGACGTTGCCACCTGGGGAATAATAAGGAGTCTAATAGAGGGGCCTTATATGATTAGAATACGGCTTTGGGGTATATAACGTAACGAAGCATTCTATAACAGAATATGACACATATAACATGACATGAACTGACTTGATATATAAGAACACAGTATATCACCATTTAAGATTACAATGAAGCAGCATGAGGAACCCTGAGGAATGCTATGGGTACTTCTCCTGTGACATCCCTCGCCGCCTGGGAAGTAGTTGGCCACCATGAAGCAGCCATCCTTAGACTTTGCCATGCCCACCTTCGTCGTGCCCTTCCACACCTCGCTTGTGCAGCTTCTTAGGGGACCAAACGGGTTTAGGGTTTAGTGCAGTTTCTTAGGGGACCAAAAGGGTTTAGGTTCAGAGTGACAAAAGTCATCCTTCGGGATTGAAACAGAGATGAATAGTACGCAAAAAACGTAAACAGGTTACTTGCTAGGATACTAAGGCACCACTTGTGTGAAGTGATGCACACCAGGTTTGGGACCAGGGCTTTGGAAATCATAACCGGGATCCTTGATCTCATTGTACCACGCCTGCACAGCGTTGCAGGCGGGATCTGGCTCAGAACAGCCGTAGGTGTTCTGGCCATGGAATCCGGATGGACCCTGCTGGTTCCCATGAGAAATCTTTCCATTGGCCTGGCATGTCTCTGCCTGCAGCAACGCAAACTCATAGCATTCGTGGCTCCATTCCAGGGCTGGCACGCCATGGTTCGCCCTGAACTTGTTGTGGCAATCAAGACATTCCTTGATCCAGTCTGCCGGTGCTTCTGGGAGCCCAGGGCTTTCGACGCCACCACCATCTGCAACAGCCCCATACCTGGACTTTGCAGTAACCAGGGACTTCTACATCATAATGTTTCCTTCAAGGAACAGGTACTCAAAAAAAACATTCAAGTATGGTACTCCAAACCCAGGATACTGGTCAATCCCGTCAACTGCAGCCGCTGCTATTCTCATCCTGTCGGCGGCCGACACCTCTTTGAAGGCGGCCTTCAAATCGTCATCGGAGACGCTTTTTGCCTTAGGGGCTGAGCCCAGAACAGGTTATATAACCTTTTCAACTATATGGTAGGGTTATATGAAATAGGATTATATGAAACCCCAAAAGTGAAAAATTATCTACTCAGCTACTAAGTTACCGTTTCGGCGATTGTCGCACTTGCACCTGTGCCCATGAGGCGAGGGACAAACAAAGCTGCACGCCCAAGTGGTGATCTGGCAGCCCAAATGACTGCAGATTTATGGTCCCCGAAGGTTACATGTACGCCAACAGTATATGGGAGTTTCCGAAAACGAGGGGTATCTTATTTCGGGGTCCTGATAACAAGGATCCTACTATTTCGGTACTATCTTAGGGTCCCCTATTTTCGGAAACCACCATATACGTTGGCCCCAAAGTATCAAGGCCACAGTTTTTTACTATAAGAGTACATGGACCCTTGAGGTTCTGTAGCACAGAGGGAGTGCCTTATCTTCTGGTCGCATTTAGGATGTAGGAGCAACCTTCAACGGACTCGACACCCGAAGCTTTATCACCGCTATAATAAGATGCTGATGCAAGCTTCAGCAAATCTCTCTGCACCAAACATCAACAAATTCAGTCGGTGGCAAAGCAAGTCAGACCCACACCTTAGCCACACTAGGTGGATCAACAGTATGATGTTGCAAGATCTTTATTGTTGTTTTTGGTGTTGCTATTCTTACCAGTAGTATTATTGCTGTTGCTACTAGTATTGCCATTGCTACTATTGTTATCATTGCGTAACTGTAAGAACTGTCAGGTGATGAATCCCTAAGTC